CAACAAGGGTACCTGCATAATGAACATTTGTATACCTAACCCTGAATTGTACTCCACGTCGTTAAAATAGCAAGATCATGGAACCAACCATGCTGTCCATCAAAAGAGGACTGGATTAAACAATGTGGTACATATACACAATGGAATATTACGCAGCCATAAAAAAGAACAAAATCATGAATTTCGCAGCAACCTGGATGGAACTGGAGTTTATAATACTGAATGATCTCTCACAGAAACAAAGATCCGAGTATCACGTGTTCTTACTCATAAGTGGACCTTGAACAACTATCGTAATACTACAAGAAAAGGATTGACAGTGGTGGGAAACTATGGGGGGTGGCAGGGAAGGGAAGAGAGGTGGGATTAATGATAGTCAATATCTGTCTGGGGACGGGGGGGCACACCTCATCAACAGGGGTACCTGCACAATGCATAGTTGAATACTTAATCCTTAACTTAAAATAAAAATGTATTAAAAAATAAATAAACAAAATAAAAAATAAAGTTATGTTTGAAAATGTTTAAAAATAAAAAATAAAATAAAATGCGGCTCCCATATCTCTATTGAGCTGGTTGTGATGCCCAAAGCCCCTTTCCATGTATGGTGTATTGAGAAGCCCTTTACACATCCATCGAAGCAGCCTCGTCCTAAATCGGTACATGCGGCGTGTACATCTCCCTGCTCCATTCCTGACTTGGCTCTTCATTTGCCTGACATTACTGCATTCCTCACAGAAGATGGGAGGATGGGACTTGGGCTCTACCTTGAGGAGCTCCTGGTCGAGGAAGGCAGGTGAACAGGGGTGGCGATGAGTTGCCTTCCATATAACAAGGGTTCTCTCAGAGGTGTGGGAGAGCCAGGGAGCGCCCAAGGGAGGACAACCTGAGCCTTCCTGGGGGCAGGGAGAAGTGATGCTGAGAGAGGGTGGTTCAGTGGGAGAGGGAACACTGAGTCATGGCTTGCCAAGTAAAGAAGGGGTGGGAGTGACAGCAGAATATCTGGTTACACGGAGAGGCTTATGTCAAGACTTTCAGCTTCTGAATTAATATGCTGCTCAGCCCTCATGCCTCCCCGCAGTGGTCTCCTCTTCCTGAATGCCCTGCCCTCGACAGTCAGCTGAACTCCTACCTCCATTTGGAGCTTCAGCTCAAGGGTCACCTTTTCCTGAAAGTCTTTCTGGACTCTCTGGTCCAAGTTACAGGCTGCCTTCTTTGTGATGTCTGAGTACTTTGTGCAGACTTCTGTCACAGGACCTAAATACTGCCTGGCAAGTGCTAGATTACTCATCTGTCTTCCCACTGGACTGTGGCCCTCAGAGTGGAGATCATGATGCTGATCTCTAGAGCCCTAGTGGCCCCAGATACATACCCAATAAATGTTGACTGACTGACTGGATCAGTGAATGAATGGTGTGTCTGAATGAAAGTGTGCAGCTCACTGTGACCAGATTGCAGGTTGGGCTACAGGATGGAAAGCTGAGGTCAGATCCTGCGTCCAAGGAGACTACATTTTATCTGTTTCGGGTGTTCCCAAACTGCAGGTCATGTGAGCCATTAGTGGATTGTAAGCAAAATTCATCTAGAGAGTTGACATCAGCATTTTTCAAAAGATGAAACATGAGAGAAGATATCAGAAGGCAACATTCATGGTAAAGACATACTGTTTTATGAAGCTTGTGTTCAAGTTATATCTGTGTGTGTGCATAATGAGTTATGATGTAAAATGTACACCTTGCTATTTAAAAACCACTTACACACACAAAAAGAGGTTATTGGCTAAAAATCAAGAATGCCAGGAATAAAACAAGTTGGGGGGCTGAGGGCAGTGAGTTTAATTCTTGAGTTATTAAATGTAAGAAATGCCTGCAGGTCACAATAGGGCAACTGTAAGTACACATTTGGATCTTAGGAGAGGCATTTCAGATGGAGAAAAATGTGTGTAATGGAATAT